TTAGTGTCATCTGCAAATTTACTGAGAGTGCACTCAATCCCCATACCCAGGTCATCAAAAAAGATGTTAAATACTGAGCCCTGAGGAACAGCACTAGTGACTGACTGCCAATTGGATTTAGGTCCATCAACTACAAATCTCTGGGCCCAACCCTCCAGTCAGTCTTTTATCTATTGATAAGTCCACCCATCCAAGCCATGAGCAGCCAGTTTTTCTAGAAGCATGCCCTGGGCAACAGCATCAAATGCCTTGCTGAATTCTAGTTAGACCACATCCACAGCCTTTCCTTCATCCACTAAGCAGGTCACTTTGTAATAGAAGGAGATTGGTTTGGTCAAGCACGACCTTCCTTTCATAAATTCATGTTAGTTGGACTTGACCCCATGGTTGCCCTTCATGTGCCATGTAATGGCACACAGGATGATCTCCTTCATTACCTTGGCCAGAGCTGAGGTTAGGCTTATAGGCCTGTAGTTCCCTGGATCCTCTTTCCAACCCTTCTTATAGATGGGTATCATGTTTGCTAATTTCCAGTCAGTCAGAACTTCTCCAGTTATCCAGGACTGCTGGTAGATTGTAATTGGTTTAGCAAGTTCTTATGACAGTTCCCTCATTACCCTGGGGTGGAGCTCATCAGGGCCCATGGACTCGAGAGCATCCAACTGGCATAGCGAGTCATTAACCATCTTCTCTTGTATTACGGGCCCTTCACTCATTTCCCCATCACCAACTTCCAGCTCTAGGAGTTGGTTATCCTGAGGACAACCAGTCATGACATTAAAACAGAGGTAAAGAAGGCATTGAGTACGTCTGCCTTATTTTCATCCCCTGTCACTACACTGCCCTCTGCACTTAGAAACAGATGGACACCCTCCTTGACCCTCCTTCTGCTCCCAATGTATGTAACTTTTGCTATTGTCCTTGACTTTTATGGCCAAATCAAATTCCAGTTGGGCTTTGGCCCTCATAATCTTCTCTCTACATGACCTCTCAGCACCCTTATAGTCCTCCCAACTTGTCTGACCCTCCCTCCAGAGATAATAGATTTCTTTTTTGTTTCCCAAGCTCCAGCCTAAACTCTCTCTTTAACCTGGCTGGTATTTCTCCTTGACAACATAGGGACAGCCTGCTCCTGAATGTTTAACAATTTATTTTTTTAAACATTCCCAACCTTCCTGAACTCCTTTACCCATAAGGTGCAAGAAGTGAAAATTGTGGCACTCAAAAGCAAATATTAACAAACTGCTGGTTAGTATTAGTTTTTACTAATGTAGATGTCTTAAATTCTTCCATTTAGAATTTTTTCAACTATTACTTTATTATTTTAACAATATTTAATTTAAATCTCAATCAGAATTTAGCAGTTCCATAAATTAAAAATATGTAGTTCTGTTCTTATGAAAAGTTCAAAAAATAAAAGGAGATAATACTTTATTATTGCCAGTGGAGCTTTTATATTTGAAAAAAACAAAAAAAAGACATGATCCTCTGTTTTACTAGGGAACAAAAAATTCAAGTATTTTTAGTGGGTGGCAGAAACCATATTTGTATGCTGTATATAAGTCTATATATGAAAGATGTAATGGAAGCACAGATTGTGCAGATGTGACTGTGAATATGTCTATGAAAACAACCTTGGACTAGCATAAATATCCAGCACAAAAGATCACTAACTGCAAGATGCACACTCTGATAAATATACAGTAAATTTTGAGTCTGTCATATCTTCTGTTATACCTCAACAGTAAATTATCAATATATCTAGTGATTTCTTAGCCAATGGCTGATGTTCATTATAGCAGCATTATCTAATACAAATAACATGATTTTGAGATATTTCATGCCTCTGTTACTTTGAATTCTTTAGCAACTACAGAGTCTATTTGTAAATGGCATCAGTGACATAATATTTCCACTTGTAACTGAAACAGCTACATATCACTTGGGTCAGAATGAAATCCTTCTCAGAGAATTTCTGTCCATCAAGCAATTAAGATATTTGATTTTAGTTTGGATACACAAGCTGCAGAGCTCCAATTTATTTAATTCTTACAGCCATTGTGACTGGCAGTTCTGAATAAACACTACTAATAAATCATTAATCTGTAACTAAAGACTATGGTCTTTCTGGAATATTTGCCAAATGCATACTTCAGGAAATCTCACCGGAACATCTGTCATCCTCACAATTACAAGGCAGAAAGCATAACGAGTGTTTCAGACAGCCAAATTAAAGCATGAGAAAACCAGCAGCACATTGGTTTTGAGCCTGTAATAACTTCTGTGTTATTTACAATAAGAATTCAAAACACTAAGTCTCAAAATGCTAAGAAGGAACAAATTAGTTTTTGATTCAGTTTATTAATGGGAACTCATGGCAATGTAATCTTGACCCATACAAGCCATCAGGAATAAGAGATGGGGACAAAAAAAGAAAATTATGAAAATGAATAGGAAATTTGATGCATTTCTACCTCTCACCTCAGCTGCCTGGTTTCAAATGGTGCCTGAAATGTCATTCTTGTAATTATTACCATATCGAGTTGAAAGCAATTTCAACTCAGCTGATTTGATTGTGCATTAATGGCTGGGAAAAGAAGATAAGGAATGTGCATGGTAAAAATAGCTGCCCATTACAATAGTAGCAAATGGGGTCAACTATCTAATGAGATAACCTTAAATACCTTGATCATTCAGGTGTTTTTGGTTTTTTTCATTTATTAAAGGTTAATGCCAAATAGGAATGAGGAAATAAGTTAATTGAAGCCTCTCCTGCAAACCTTTACCTTCCTGTTTGAATAGTGACTAATAATTTATGAGAGAGTTTACTAAATCTCAGGGTGCTGAAGACAAAAGGTATCAGTAGTTGCATTTCTTGCCTGTCACTGATTGTTGCAAAGGACAAAGCATGTCATACCTCCTTTTCACTGGAAAGTGACGGTCAGCAACTGCAATTTAATTCCAACAAAATGAGGATAATAAGAAGTAATATGTTGGCTACTGCTTCAGCCATAGCCAAGAGTCTAAAATGGTCTTGTTGCCAACTATTGCCTTGGCAGTGTTTCTGACAGGAGAGAACCTGGAGCCATCAGCTTCTACCGCACAGCCCTTTTCCTCATTTATTTCAGCATTTCAAGGAATACCCCCATTTATTTCTTTTCTGTCCCCTCTCATGTACCTCTTTCCTTATCTTTACTATATAAGACAAGTCTTTTACCCTACAAAAGTTCTCATCTCACATTTGCTTTCTAAACTACTGCTTATGTTTCTGTTGGGAATGAATTTGCAAAAGCTGCTATCACCTTCTAATGGCTCTCTGTATGTGGGCTATGCTCTCCCAGCTTTTGTTTGGACTGGTTTGGCTATATTGTCTTTCTCTGTGAACTTCACTGGATCTAAATAGATAGAACAGAAATACTCTGTCAGAATTTATCTGTAATTATTTATGTGTACTTTCTGTTGACCTGCTCACTGAGAGTGTCTGGATTTTGGTTAAACAGGAAAAACCGTCAAGAAGGGAATAAGTTTAAGAAATATATCATCCCGACAATAAATAGGAACTGTTAAGAGAAAAATCTGAACAGAAAACATCCAGTGACCAGTGACACACGAAGGTCAAAATCATTATAAAAAACATTTTAAAAGTACTCTCAGGTGGTAGAGACAGGTTTGAAAAGCTGCTCTGGAAAACCAGACCTGCCAAGCAAGCTGGAATCATGATCCTCAGGAAAATACACTATTGTCTTAAAACTCCTTACCTCTTATGTTTTATTCCTCCTTAGGTAAGTAAGGAAGAAGAATTGGTATGGAAGATACAGTATTTCTCAGACTAATTGTTTTGTGAAGTTCCTCCACAGAGTTAAAAACAAATACTTCCCCTATTTCTTAATCAAGGCCAGGCTGTAAGAAACCTGTATGCACCTTGATAAGCTATGAACTATAAAACCAAGCAGTATATATGATATTGAGCAGCATAACTTCAGAAGGTAGGGGCGAGATGTCCAAAAAGGAACACCATTATAAAAAAGAACTGAAAATAATTCAATACGGTGAAATTTCTTTCAACACAACACACAGAATTTGATGGGGTATTTTGGAAAGAACCCTACCCATTATAATTTTTTATATACCTTTAGGGAAATATCATTGATGGAACACCTGTTGTTAGCAACATATATATGAAGAAGAGAGAATAGTTTATTTGAATCGCTAGAACTGCCTCCTAGTTCTATCTGGCTGTATGCTGCCCTTGCCACCCTTATCCTTGGGAACTATAATAATAGTAACTACCACCACAAAAATGAAATGTTATCAATTTCATCCTATATTCTGTAATCTGAGTACTGTATAGAAGCAATTTCGGTTCTTATTTAATTTGTACAAAATAGGAAAGGGATATTTCTCAAACCTTTCCCTCCCTAAACCCATTTATCAATAAACATATAAGAACCCCCTTGTCATAAATAGCTAACACTTGTTCTCTAGTAGTGCTGTTAGGTCAGGTAGCAACTAGAGAACAGACACTGTCAGAAAGTGTGTTAAGACATGTTTCAGGCTTTGTGCTCTAAGCTTCATATCTAAATTATGCATTTGGGGGTGGGGAGGGAGGAGAAGGAAGAGAGGGAATCTCTCTACTAATCTTAGTTTATCCTCCAACTGTGATATTTTGACAGAAAAACTCTAACTTACTGATTTATAGTATCACAGTGAATAAATGGGTGCGAGTCTGGTAAAATTTTCAATAAAAGAAACTTTCCTCTTTTGTTTATGATAAAATGAGTTTTCATATCGACAGAGAGCCTTTTAACTGGAATGAATTCCTGTCCACAGAAATGGCTATGTAGGGAGTTCATAATTAGCTACTTAGTCAATCGGTTGTTTTCAGAGTGCAGTAAGGACTGTCTGTGAAAATGGAATCCAGCAAAATAATGAAACCACAAACTAGACATGTCACATCTTAATAAACAATGATGTCTAATTATGAAAGAATCTGTACTTACTTGCCAAGTGCAAAACATTCCATCTTTACAGTAGTTCCCCTTGCAGCTGTGACAGTGTAAGGAAAATGGACCTCAATTTTTGGTTCGTATTCCCCCATTACACCTGGAAAATAAGAAATGTTTAAAATATGAAATATCATCAGTTTTCCATTTGTTGAGTTTATCACAGAAAAGCCCTGTGGCTTGTTTTTTGAATCTGCCCAGCAGTAAAGCTGGTAATTGATGGAGACAGCCTCGTTTGATCTGATATGCTGTGCTCAGGTCCATTATTTCAGGGTTACCAGCAGTACAACAGTGAGCTTAAGAAAAAAGATTTATTTTTTCAAACATGGGTTAATATATACATTTTGAAAGATTAAAGTGGGCAATCAACAGAAGAGTGAGAACTTTCATAGACCAAATCTTTGTTTACCAATACAGTGACAATTATGACAAATAATTCAATGTATCATGCTGTGTTTGACTGAGGACCTTCCAAGCTTAGCAAAAACATCCTCAAATTATGTAAGAGCATTTGTGCACACAGATAAAAACACAGATATGCAGACTCATACAAAATTCAGTTATGTCATTTTCAGTGATCCTTTTAATTTGAAATATGATTCTTTTTATCAGGACAACACACTACTCTAAGATACAACTAGGAAAACACTCAGAAATGTGAAAAGATATAAACACGGAAATCAATAGAGTTATCTGGAAGTTGTTGTGGAGTGACTGACAGCTTTGGAGAATCACAAGTGTTTAGGAAATGAGAAATGGATAAAAAATGGAGATAGGTTGGAGGAAATGTTATAATCGGCACGGCACGAGAAGAATATGTCTCTAAGAGCTGTGCCTGGTTAGAGAGAACTTGGGCTATGGGGTAGGCAATACTCAGGAACAAAAAGCTATATAAAACAAAGTAAGAGTTGGTCAGATTTTTAGATGAGAAAAACTGAACAAAATCCTGACTTGTGGACAAAGTAGCAACAAGACAAGTCTAATCTAAACCTATAAAAAATTCTAAAGCAGGTAAATAGGGACAAGAGATGAAATGAAAGTATAATAGTATATCTCCCTTCCATACAGAAGTTTGGCCTTCGGGATTTGTTAGTATTTGTAACATCAATACTTTCTCTAAAATTTCTTCTAGTGAAACTTCAACTACAAGAACTTCAGTCTTGACAGGGGTTCCTCCCTAAGTTCCCCTGTAGTGAACATTACTGAAAATAGTTCATTTAGGTTTTATAATGCAGCCTTATATTTCTGAGGTGTTCCTTTTAAATCTTTGGCATCTGTTGACAGTTCATATTCACTGACAGGTTTTGTGCTTCAATGAATTTAAAAAAGGGTTGTTTTTTATTTTGTGCAATATTTAATTCTGTCAAATCATTGTGTTGGATTGTTATATACTATTTAACATTAGTCTTTTTTAGTACGGAAAAAATAAATTTGAAATAGGATTAAATTACTCTTCCTTTAAAATTATACAGTATGTCTGTACTTATCTGAGGGCCAATATTATCTTTCAGATTTTGTTTTTGACTAACATTAACTCCCTTTGGCAAATGCAATCTGTACACATACTGAATGCTCGTTGTATGTCACACCATTGTTTCATATTCTTAGTGAAATGTTGATCTACTAATGCTTTGTACCACATCCTGTTCTACTGGGTTATTGCTACGCTAGCAAGTGACATGCCTGCAGCAACTTGCAGGAAATATATAAAAATTACTGAGCAATTGCTTGGTTTCTCTATGAATATTAGGAAACAAAAGCCTATTATTGCAAAGGGATATTTTTCATCCTTATTATTATGATCTTTGAGACCATGGAGGCCATTACAGTTGCATAGACATTAAATTATCAAGGCCTTACCTTCCCACATTGCACTTAACTGCTTAGCTATGGCTGTTGTACCTCCAGGCTCTTTTGTCTTTCCCAGGCTCTGTTTCGGCCTTTAAGAGTCAGTAATGGTAAAACAACCACCATCTGCATTTTCAGAAAGATTTTTGTTCATTTGTATCAGGTGCTAAAAGGAACCTGAACTTTTAAGAAATATTGAGCCTTTGAGTTATATGTACTAGAATCAATCTCTCTCAGGCTTATATACATGACTGTCTTTCAGAGGTTTGGTTGAGGCCGTAAAAAATCTTCTCAGTCATTTTTTATTTCCAGTTATCAAACATGAAATACAGCAATAAATAAAATTTATCAGCACAGAATAAAAACATAATATACAATTTTCAAGTGGCTAACAAATCACAGAGGTCACATGGTCTGAGCACTATAGAGCAATGGGATGCCATTCTTAATGCTGCTGTGCCCTGCCTTCCCATGAAAATACCTCCATTCTGACAATCTTTTACCTTTCCAGAGCTGACCCCCATGATTCAGGATTTCTCTGGCTACTTACTTAGTTTACTACATTTCCTACTTCACAAGCTGTGTCTTTCATCTGAGTTCAGACATGAGTATGAAAGTACTGAATTTGTGATTGGTATGAAACACAGCACTTCAAAATAAGTCTAGTATACTACATCTTGAAATTTTGGCTGGGATTAGCAAAGGGGCTAAAAGGCAAACTTTCCTGTTTGTTTAAGTAAATCTTAGCCCTGGGCTTTATTCTGAAACACATCATTCTACCTTACATTTTCCAGTGTCTGGTTCTGTGCTCTTTCAGCCAAGGTCTTTCTTGGCTGGGGGAGATTTATAAACTAATAATCCTTCTGTTCTGTCTCTGATTACTAAAGAAGATACTGATTCAAATGACTGAACATATCCCAGGACAAAGCACAGTTTGACCTTGTTAGAACCAGTGGCTTGTTAGTCACATGAGCAGAAATGGAGCTCAATATATATCTTTCAGATACTGTTTTACAACAATGCAGATTTTCCAACTCAAGTAAAGAAAAATATTCATAAAGACAGGGGCCTTTTATTAATAAGTGGTTTCATTTAATGAGTTGTTCCACTGATTTAGCTGCAAATCTGTGACTTGAGTTAAAATCTCTGCTACTCAGTGTCCTATGAACCCTAAGCTATAATGTCTGCATTTCATTTTTCCATGGAAAAAAATAGAGATGACACTATACTGTGATAAATACTGATTGTGAGGTGCACACATACCACAGGAATAGATGTAATAAAATTTCAAATATTTACAGATATTACTACAGCTAAAACTGCTTACATTATCCCCTGTGGGCCCTCTAATGGAAATAGAGAATGGAATAAAGTAGCAAGATCAGTTTCTGATTTTCAGTCCTTTCAGCTAAGAAAAAGGAAAAGAAGTACAGACAGAATATCAGACATTATAACTTTGAAAGGGACTGCTCTACCTCTTCATTTAGCCTCCCACTCCATGACTTTTACGATCTCAGATGAAGAGTGTCGAAAAATGGTGAGTCTATGATAGTATCCATACAATAGGGAAAAAAATCAGCTGAGCAATCATGACACATCATCTTACTCCAGCTGTGTAGAGGCTAATGATTCTGTTTCATTAATCTTCTAGGTATTAACTACCCTCTTGAATCTCCCAGAACATAGGCTTACATGATGGCTCCTTAAATCCCTTCAGCTAAAATGATCTGGGTTTGTTTCAAACTGTTTAAGCAATAGCTCTTTATCTTCCTTCAGAACCTAATTTTGAGAGGAGCAGGTTACAGGGAATACTTGAATCAGTGGTTGATAAGCATTTGAGACAGTATCTAGAAAACGATAGAAGATTCCTGGCTAAGCATCATCAGAGTGCAAGGGAGAAAAGCTAAATATTTTTTGTACTCAGGAGAAATATTAGGCACAGATTGATACTTGCCATTATTTTATTAGCAAATGATACAACCCCCTAGCTCAGTGATCAAGAGTGTTTGTCTGAGAGCTTTGGGTGAAGTCCTTGATTTTAATCAGATAGTGTAGGAGTGTTAATCTGGTTTTCTTGCAGCCTGGATAGTGCTCTAATCGCAAAATTATTTGGGATTCTTACTGATTTGGATGCTCCTCTTAATTTCTGGGAAAACTCTTGAGGAGTGATGATCTTGTCCTGCTGCATAAGAATTTTCTAATCATTTTACAGATCAGAAGTTGAGTTTACTACCACATTGTAATGACGATATGTTGTGTGAATATGTACCCAAACCCAAGAAAATTTTGACTAAGAAAATACTACATGAATGTTCATGCATATTTTCTATGGTGGAAACTAGGGTTATCTATGGTGTGGGTATTTTTGTGACAAGTGAATATTTAGCATTTTCTCTGAAGACCTGCACTATTAAATGTCTCCAGATATTTATTTGGAAGAGACAGCCCTGAATACACACATTTACAATGACAGCAAATTGACAGCACAAACTGAATTAATTCAGGCATAATGATGATACCCACCATTATATTCTGATCACATCAGAGGTTTTCATTGAATTGGGAAGAATTTATTGACTCACCTGCTATTAATCTTATTCTAAATGGAAGGACTAATGCCTGCTGTAAGTCTAAAAATTTACTGTGGGAATGGTTGTTTTAAGACAACTGTCCACAGCATTCCTTCCACTTAGAGGTCTCTCAGACAAGTTTTTAGCTATAAATTCATCATTTGAGAAGCCCTAAACATGCTTAGGTGAAATTACATTCTGTAATGCACTGAACTAAAATGCCAAGATTGTTTTCATATGTTAGAGAGCAAATCCTATTACATATCACTGGATGGAAAGAAGTCTTTACCGGAATATATCCTAATATCAAAGAAAATTTAGTAATTCAGTTCCTGGGGAAAAAAAAAGAATACAGCACAAGAAGGGTACAAACTCTTCTTTAGTTTATAACTAGGGGATAAGATGTAGATGTATTTCTAGTTATAGAGGTATAAATGTAAAAGAAGCTCACACTTAACTGAAACAAAATGTTTAACCAAAGCTTAAGCAAAACTTTCCTCTTTGCACTTTAAAATCCATCTTTCAATTGTACTGCATTTGACTACTGTGGCAGTTACATTCTGAGCTCTGTCTAGAAAGCCCTTTCTAGAAATAGCATTACTATACCAAAATCTATTCAAAATCAGTTATTTATAACTAGTAAATATCATGTATGCATGCCATACATACACAAGAACTTTCT